TTTTCCGTAGATGTTAAGCTACATTTGGGCAACTCGTAAATCTAACTTTATCATAAATTTTAAATGCGTTCTCCTATAAGTCAGGGAGTGAAATTTTGAAGTGCTGTGTTGGAACAAGTTTAATTATGCCCTCTAACTACTGGTTTTAGAATGTTAGATTGTGAGCTAGAATTAGCTTAATACGTTGAAATAGAAACTGTGAACATGGAAACAATATATCTTTTAATTTGGTAGCGGTTTTATTTTATTTTCTAAGAAATGCATTTACAGTTGCTCTAGCTTAATATGTTTGTCTTTTTTAGAAAATGTCTAGTGTTTAACCATGGCGTTTATTCACGTATTTGTCTGAAGCTGGTAGTGAAATGAAATTTGGTGAAAATATTGAAATGGCAAAATTATAGTTGTGTTATAATGTTCTTACAGACAAGCGAAAGTTCAGGATCTTGGTTAATTCTTGATACCCATCCTGACCCGCTTGGGAATCAGGATGCACCATTAATATTGGATGTTGAAAATGTTGGCAAAAGCACTGAAATACCTACCATGATTGGAGGAATAGAAAAAGATGTCCAAGAAAACTTGCCAGACCCTCGAGTTTGCGAGGTAATTTTGAAAGTAACAGGGGAACTTTATGAGTGTCGTGTATTTCATTTTGCTGTATTTTTATTGGTGTCATATTAGTAAGTTATGAGCAAAATTATTTTTGTTTCAAATTTTCATTTTTATTTGGACGTCCAGATTTTATTGAAGAACTGATCGATTTTTGTTGGTTGCTACGTCGTTTATCATATTGTAGCTTCTTTCGAAAAGTCAAATTGGGGTTGGTTTCGAGTTCTCTGCAGGAGATGAGAAGTTACATGTTTCTAGAAGAGAATTGAAGCGTCGCAGAAAAGTGAGTTTTACCATTGTTATTAGATACAGTCAATTATATTCACTTGCTGTTTCGCGTCTATTTAAACTTTTTCAAAATTGTTTAGTGATTTTTCTGATCATGTGAGGCATTTTCAGTACTGAAACTATTACGACAACTCATTAACATCGCAAATTTTTTAGCTTGAAACAGAGCGGACAAAAGGAAATAATTGGTTTGATCTTCCGGCTACGGAAATGACTGATGAAAGAAAACGTGATTTGGAATTGATTCAGATGAGAAACACTTTAGACAACAAAGTACACTATAAAAGGAACGATCGGTCTGTGCTTCCGAAGTATTTCCAGGTGCATTTTCTTAATAAGTAACTAAAAAATACTTTTAATTGTTTATGAATTACTGGAAGGTTTTTCAAGAGGGTACTCTGCATCAAGATTCCTTTCCTAGCACAGTCTTTTCAGAGATGCATAACCGAAAACTGCAGGTGAAACTTGTTAACTGTATTCAGGCTTGATTAGCGGAGGCTGTAAATTCATAGTTTGAAAAATAGTGAAGTGAAGGACTGAAACTGGTCAAATGTGCAACTCTTTGGCATTTTATTAGCCATTAAAGGTCATAATTGTGCTAAAAAATCTTGCGCTCAAATATTTAGTTTTTGAAGATTAGAATAAGTAGTAGAAACTATTTTACTTATGAGGAATTGAGGTTTGCAGTCGTGGCCTTGAGGCGAAAGAATACCCTTGCCAGCGAACCATGGAATTATTTTCCTTGAAAACTATTTTTGATCGGCGAGCTTGCAATTACCATAAAATGGCACCTTGTTTGTGCTTTTGAAAAGCATGCCAAGATGTAGTTGAGAGCGTTTTTTGGATATTTCAATCGTTGTTGTGCTTACCACTTGTTATTTGATGGCAGTTCTACATTATGTTATTTGATTCTGTATTAGGTAATCTTGTTTATCTGACTCTTCGTCCTATTCCGATATGCTTCGCTTGTCTGGATTCGACCAGGTTTTCCTGGTTTCTTTAGCGCCAATTTAATCAGCGTTTAGGCGCAAATTACCAATATCGTATAAGACCATCATCTCTCCTATCATTTCTGAAGAGTTCCCGTTGTAGCGTTGAGAACTACTTCGTGATGAGGTGTCTAATGATATTTAAATCGGTTTCTGACTTGATTTTACATGCTTTTTATGGTAATTCAGCGTCAAGTGGTTTATCTTCAAATTTATTTCTTTTGAAAACCTACATCTATAATTCTTTATTTGGAGAAAGAGGTGGACAATATCTCAGGAAGGTGAAGACAATTGCTGAGGATGTAATAGAAATGTGGAACTTGCGAAGGTGCAAAGTTATGCATTTGAAAACTAGAATATTTCTTAAGGTGTCTTTGAATGTTTGGGAAAGAACTGAATTTTTTTGTGAAAAATTTCTTTTTAACTTTGTTCAAGATTGTTACCATGCAGTATCGGTGAAGCATATAATTTCTTTTTGTTAATCGTTTATGTGAATTTAATTGGTGAGAGGTTTAATATACATTTGTTCCTTTTTATAGGTGGGTACCGTGATTGAAAACAAGGCAGATTTTTATTCATCAAGAATAGTAAATAAAGAGCGTAAAAGAACCATAGTTGAAGAACTCATGGCAGATGCTGATTTCCAAACAAGGCAAAGGAAGAAATTCGATGAGATCAGAGCTAGAGAGGCTGTTTCTAGAAAGGGAGCATTCCAGCACCGTACGTTTCCAAAAAAAAGAAGGCGAACTAATCTTCATCACTAATCGTTCAAATGTTTCAAAAAAATTTTTTTTAATACATCTTGTTGCTTAAGCCTTTTCCCGCTCTTTGCTGTCCATTCAAGTAGTAGTATGTAAAAAACATCTGTAGTTTCTTCTGCGTTTAGCGGAGGGAAACCCTCTGTTGCCATGCTAACAAAGTTTTCAGTTGGATTTTAAGTGGCGTAGTAACTAGAGGGAAAATTTTCATTTCTTTGTTGTTGTTTTTCTGAAACATTGTTTTTGTTATTGTTGGTTCTGAAAAAAAGGTTTATAAATATGTGTTGCGATAAGATAGTGAATGATTATGAATTATTTTTGTTTTATGTGATCTGGGCATGCATTGTTCTTCGGTAGCTCTCGTCTATAGAGGTTTTAGTGAAACTTGCGATAAATTTTTCAAAATTTTCTACATGTCGAATAATTTATTTGCAGCAATGATGGGGCTGATGATTAAGGAAGAATTCGTTTTTTGGTATAGATTTTAAATTTAATTTGTGGTAGGCAAAGTGATGGAGAAAAGAAACGAGTGGTTATGATTTGAGAGTTTTGGGAACGGAAAAACTGATTTGATTCTAGAGTTCAACTTCATGGACCGCAAAGTGCTTAAATAACACAGAAGGGTGGTGAAATGTCACGTTGAAAGTCCTGTCCAGTTTTTTTTTTCTGTTTTGACAGTTTTTCCATACCAGTTATTTTTAAATGCACATGTCCACGATAAATAACTTCAGCGGAGTATTTGCTATGCAACGTTTTGTTTCTTAGGTGGTAGTGCTGAACGGTAGTAGCGACAACAAGCATTTATTTGTCAACTTTTATGCCTTATCAGCAAAACAGTTGTTTGGGTATGATTCAGAAAAAAATTTACAATTTACCTGTTTAATGTACAAAAGTTTGATGATTTTTGGCGTGACCGTTGGTATGCATTTTAAGATCTTCACAATAGATTTTTACTCATTTTTTTACTTGGTTGTGGACAAGTTTTTAGTACCTAATTTTAATTGCTAACATGTAATTTTGCATTCCTCGTTGATCTTTTCACAGTCAATTAAACATTGCTAACTTTCTGGCCTACATCTGTTCTTTGCTTGATCTAATGATCTGACTACTGTTACCACTTTTAACAGTTGTCGTCATGGATCAATAGTGACGAATGATAGCAGAAAAGAAAAAGGAAGGGATGATTAAGAAATTTCATCATATCACTCTACAACTAATTTTCCATTTTTCTTTTGCTTTTTTACTTTTTCTTTCTTTTTTTAGCGAAGAAAATATATAAAAATAAAACTTTATTACAAAAGAAAAAGAACCTTTTTTTTTTTTTGTTTGACTATAAAACTTAATTTTATTTTTATATGAAATGGCACTTTTTAAATATCATCACAGACTATTCTTTTGCCATTTTATTGTTCAACAAATTATTTAATTTTTCTCCTCTTGATATTTAGGCTAAATTTTGTAAAATTTATTGCTCTATTTGGATGACCAAAAAAAAACATAGCCCTATTACATTGTCAAAAAAAGAAAGGTTAGAAAAGGTTAGAAATGTCTGATCTGCACAGCAGATATACTCTTGTTTTGTGTTTTGTGTGTGTTTTTTTCTTCTTATTTCTTTTCGCTAATAATATCGGTTAGATTAGTGACAGCACCGTTAGGTTATTTGTTATTTTTTTCGGGCGAAACAGTCAACGAAAGCTCTAAAACAAAGGTGGACTGAGATCAGTCGGAAAAAAAAAGGTTTTCTGTATATAATGGTACTTTTTACCAATGTTCCCGCAGTTTTACAAGTTCGAGAATTGTGGCTGAAGGGTATCGGATGTAATGTTAATTTCTACATTGGTTTCGATAAAACAGTTAGTGCTTGGTGTTTTTTTTTTT